GATGGACCTTATGGGTCCCTTCCCACTCAGGATATCCCAGGATTCTAAGCTCTTTCCCTAATTGAAATGACTTCTCAGGTACCTTGGCTGTGAGCATCTGCCAGACAGTGGAGAAGGAAAGTTGTTCACCTGTGTGTGTGTCTGTTCTTTAGGACTCCCACCATTCTGACATGGGGTGGGGTGGCCGGTGTTGGGGTGATTTGGGCCACAGACTGGAAGCTGATCCTGCAGTACGTTCCCTACGTCGGCGGCAAGTACAAAACTGAAGACTGAGCTTCCCTCTAATGGTAAGTTTTGTTTGTGCATCTCTTGGCTTAAGTAATAGAATCATAAAATCACAGAATCCCAGACTGGTTTGGGTTGGAAGGACCTTAAAGTCCATCCAATTCCAGCCCCTATCATGGGCAGGGACACCTTCCACTAGACCAGAGTGCTCCAAGCCCCGTCCAAGCTGGCCTGGAACACTTGAACACAATAATCCTGACAGCTGATGTTCCCTGTTTGTCTGGGGCACAATCATAATGTTGCTCCAAAACTGTGCAATTTTTTTTGTTCAGAACTTTTTTCTTAATGGGGCTTCACATAATGCCAGAAGGATGATATACTAATAGGAATATGTTTGTCAAGTGATTATTTTGCAAATAGTGGGTTTCCACAATGTAATGTGGTTCTTGAGAGGTCAAATCAGGTTCTCTCTGGTCATTTGGAACTTTGACAGATCTGTTACTTCTGTTCCTGGGGAGAAGGGCTACAAGCTCTGGATTAGTTTTGTGATTAGGCAAATTCAGACTCCTTTCTGCTTCTTTTAACTGTTATTGAAAGTAAATTGAATGTTCAGAGCTGGTTACTATATTCCACAAATTCCTTGGAAGATTGGCTTTCTCAAGGTTTTGGTTATTTTCCTTCTTTAATTGCATATCAGAAGTGCTGTTTTGAATGTTCTGGAAGTGTCAGCCTCCCTAAAGCTGGAGCACCAATTAGGCAGACCTTCTGTTGGGCCTCTCCATGCATATTTGTTGCAGTAGGCAAGCTCAGGATTTTTTTATTCCTTGCTGCAGGTAGAAGGGAGTCAGGAAGGTTTTTCCCTGGCATTAAAGGATGCCGAGGGGAAGAGGTCCAGAGAAAACTCTGTACACCTCAGAACTTGTTTCTTCTGGTCAGAATAACGACATCTAAATGTTGATCAATGAAAGTGAGTTACTTGCATTCCAGCTGCATGGTATTTTATAGGGAAAACAGCCAGTCAGGAAGGTACTTTAAGCCTCTTTTCCCAGCTATACTTATTGCAGTTTAAACAAGTTAAACAGCTGCAGTTTAAACAATTTACTGTGTCTTCCCTGTTTGAAAACTTTGTATTGCACAGATCCTTCTGTAAGCAAAGGAGGAAGGAGCCTTTTCATGAATGTCAGCCACACTGGAAGCACCTTGGGTGATCAGAGATGTTTACAGACAAGTCACAGAGTCCCAGAATGATTTGGGTTGGGAGGGACCTTAAAGACCATCCAATTCCAACCCCCTGCCATGGGCAGGGACACCTTCCACTAGACCAGGTTGCTCCAAGCCCCATCCAACCTGGATGGGGAAAAGTTCTAAGTGGGAAAGCTCTCAAGTTATGTAGAGTCAATTAAATTACCTTGTAAAGAGCTTCCTTTACTTAAAAATTCTCTTAGGCAGTAGTAGGAACACGAGTCCATTCCTGAGCCAACAGTGTGGGGTTTCTGATTTGAAGAAAGAGCTTTGTTTGTAACTCCTCTGGAAAGAGGAGCAGAGAAAGGGAATGCATCTGTGGTGGCCTGTGATCCCTTCCAAAGGGTCTCCGGGCTTGCACACCTGCATCTGCTGTGCCTGGATCAGCTCCTGCACCAGAAACTTCTTACCTGGGTGCTGGAGGCTTTTGAAATCTGTTCTGTTGGCTGCTGTGGCCCTGGGCAGGAAGCTCTGCTTAACAAGTGCTTTGTGTTTGTTGTAGGAAACGTGTTGCTGGAGAGAGTGTTTGGAGCCATCCGTCCACCAAGACCCTGCTTTGAGGTGACCCTGCAGTGCCCACTGCAGATCCTGCTGCAGGCTGTGCTGGGAGCAAATTTACCTTCACTGACCACGTCCTCTGATGGCTTTCCCAGCAGATCTTGCACTCATGGGAGTAATTTATAAACCTGGTGTACACAATAAACCAAGGGAATGATATTTTGGGGTTTTTTTGTTTGGTTGGTTGGGTTGGTTTTTGTTTTTTTTTTAAGTATTACCTTCTTAAGAGCAGGCTCCTGGTTTGCTTTTGCATTATAAAATCATGGAATCCCAGAATGGTTTGGGTGAAAAGGGACCTTAAAGCTCATCCAGTTCCACCTCCTGCCATGGGCAGGGACACCTTCCACTAGCCCAGGTTGCTCCTTTGATCCAACCTGGCCTTGGACACTTCCAGGGCTGGGGCAGCCACAGCTGCTCTGGGCAGCCTGTTATGTCTTCAGTTTGTTTGACTGCATGTCCTAAGGCAGGTCTGCCATGTGTTTGCCTCTTTCCATGTGCAGGTTCCCTGGGAATCAACCAGTGGCTGCTGAGTTTGGTGATTTATTTATATAATTTCTAGTTCTTGAACTCCTCTTAGTGATGTCTTGATTTTAAGCCCTCATTCCTTAATCACTGTGGCCTCATGCACGCAGTTAACTTTTCATAGCCAATATTCCAGAGTTTCCTGGTAACAGATTCCTGGCATTTGATTTAATAGAAAGGTTTTGGGTTTTTAACATCAATTCATGGGCCATTTTAACTGTCTGATTGGGCACACACTGTGTTTTAGCTTTTCTGGCTTAGTCTGGGGGCTTGAGGAAGGCAGTCCCCAAACCCTGGGAGCCTTTCCCTGTACCAGGGTGAAAACCAGGGCTTCAGAGAGCAGCTCAGGTCCTCCTTAATGTGTGGTTTGAGTAGGAAAAGCATCTGTATCCTTGCTTCATAGGTCTGTTTATTTGTCAGCATAAATTGAGGATGAAACGACCCCCTGTCACAGCCTTTTAGATGACAAAGATTTTAGCTGTTGGAAAAAGGAAGAAGAAGGATTATTCTTGCTCTGGTCTCTGCCACTCACACACAGTAGATGACTCAGACTCAGAGGGGAAAAGTTCATCCCTTTTCATGAAGACCAGAATTTGCAAACAAACTTATTTCTCTGTGAGAACAGTCACTGTTTTCTCTCTATTCAGTACCAAATTTCACCTTGTTATAATTTTTGGCTGTAATGCAAGGTTTGCATATCTTTAAGGGGAAATTCCAGTCGTAGCTGTACTGCCTGTGTGTCACCCTCAGGGCTGGAGGCTTCTGAGGGATGTTTTTAGGGAAAACTGTTGGAAAATCTGCAGAGCAGTGGCACTTGAACCAGGAGTGTACAGACCTTGCATTTGTTTGGGGATTGTTCAGCTGTTTGTGTTTCCTGCAGCAGTTCCAATGATGGCTTTATTGCTAATTAACCCTAGGATTAGTGTGTAACTGATTTAATTGCTGCATTTCATCTTTCACAAGAGCAGGAAATACTCTGTTACAAATACCTCCTGCATTCCTGGGCAAGTTTCTGTTAAAACTCTAATTACTGCTCAAGTGGCTTGGGTGGTCTTTCTAATGTTTAATATCCCAGCAATGCCTGTTTTCCAACAGTTAATTATTTTCATAGTGAACTACTGAATGCCACATGCATTAGAGGAACAAACTTAAAAGACAATGACTGACAGAAGGGGGAAAAGGGGGAACAGCTTCTCCTTCCAAACCTGGGAGAGGGCACAGAGGTGGCCAAACTCATGGATCGTGAACTCCGTGGCCAGTCCTGCTCTGGAATAAGCTCCTCGGTTGGCTCTGGGATATTTGACTGCAGAGTAGGGAGCTTCAAACCAGGGCTAAATAAAGTGTTTTTCTGTCAGGATACCCTGTCACTTCCTTCCATGCAACAGATTTTGTTGTTTTTTTAGATTATCTGCTTATCCTGGAGCAACATGGACACTGGCAGCTGAATCCGCTTTCAGCTGGTGGCAATACCTACAAAGACCTCATCTCCTGTACCTTGGCATTGTTCCCAAAACAATACTGGAATATTTTCCCTTGGGCTCAGGAGTTCATCTCTACCCAAACATTTCACAAAGGCTGTCACAGAATAGTCTGAATTGGGAGGGACCCCCAGGGATCATCTAATCCAGCTCCTGAGTGGCCCCTACAGGGATCAAACCCACACCCTTGGTGTTATTAGCACTGGGCTCTAACCACACACAGTCCTAAAAAAGGTTTCCCCTTCCACAAGCTGGTGCCTACTGCCAGTAAAACTGATTTTCTAACTCCTGATACCCCAAGTTCGAGGCCCAGAGGACATTTCAGGGATCCCCCTTCCCCATCTCCCCCCCCAGCCCCATCTGCTCCCAGATCTGCCAGTTCCTTCTTAGAAATGCCCCTGAAGGGAATTTCAGGTGCCTCAGTTTCCCTCCTACACTCACTTTTATGCTTCATTTTCAGTCAAGCAGCTGTATTTCAGTACAAGTTTTTGGTTAGAACAGTATGAGTTGGGCTGGGTTGTGAAGTTTTGGGGTGGTTTTTCCAAAAAAGACGATTTATGCATTACAGAAAACAGTGTAGGTTTGATCAATACTGGGAACTGGAACTTTTCTGATTTCTTCGTGCAAGATTGCAGGAAATAACACCAATAGCAGAGCGAGGTGTTCCTTAAGTGTGAGCCCAGAGGAGACAATGTTACACCACCAAGCCCCAAACCAATCCCTGGGGAGCTGGAATGCCTTGAGGGCAATGGGAAGCTCAGCACTGATCATAAGTCTCTCTGAACAAAGCAAATGTAACCCAGCACCTCCAGGCACACCCAGCTCTTGGGAGTTATTTGCAGTTTCTACCCCTGAGTCTGGACAACTTGAACCCCATTGTGGGGGTCTTGGGGTTCCCTCTCATCTGCAACACGTCTCACATCCATCCACTCCTGCTTTCCAAATGAGGGAGTTTGAAACCAATGAGTGACCCCTGATATAAAAAGGAAAAAAGATAATAAGTAATAACCAACTGTGTGGAGTTTGACAATGGTAAGTGACAGATCCTGCCCCTGGGATGGGCAGCCCCGGATGCAGGGATAGACTGGGGAATGAGAGGCTGGAGAGCAGCACCACAGGAAGGGACCTGGGGGTCCTGGTCAGTGGCCAGTTGGATCTGAGTCAGCAGAGTGTCCTGGCAGCCCAAAGGGCCACCGTGTCCTGGGGGGCATCAGGCCCAGCATCGCCGGCCAGGCCAGGGAGGGGATTGTCCCACCCTGCTCTGACCTGGGGCGGCCTCACCTCGAGTCCTGGGGGCTGTTTGGGGGCCACAGTGTCAGAGGGATCTGAAGCTGTTGGAGAGTGTCCAAAGGAGGGACACAGAGATGAGGAAGGGTCTGGAGGGGAAGGGTCTGAGGAGCAGCTGAGGGCACTGGGCTGGTTCAGCTGGAGCAGAGGAGACTGAGGGGAGACTCCTCGGGGGCTGCAGCTCCTCCCCAGGGGAGGCGGAGGGGCAGGCGCTGAGCTCTGCTCTGGGACCAGGGACAGGAGCCAGGGAAGGGCTGGAGCTGTGCCAGGGGGGTTGGGATGGATCTCAGGGAAAGGTTCTTCCCCCAGAGGGTGCTGGGGCACTGCCCAGGCTCCCCAGGGCAGTGGGCACGGCCCCAAGGCTGCCAGAGCTCCAGGAGC